CACTGGATATGGTGTGTGGTTACCAGGCAACCATTGATAACCAAATCCCCAAGCATCCAGTGTCCTCTCACCCCTCCCTCTTCTCTTTCTCTCGCTCTATCTCTCCTGTCCTCTCTCTCTCCTCTCACTCCCTCAGTCCTCTCTATTCTCCCTCTCTCTCCTCTCCTTCCTCACCATCCTCCCTCCTTTCTCTTCCTCCTCCCTCTTCTCTCTCTCCTCTCCCTCACTCCTTCCTCTATCCTCCTTTTGCCCTCTCTCCCTCCTTTCTATCTCTCCTCCATCTCCTCTCCCTCACTCCTTCCTCTCTATCCTCCCTCTATCCTGCCTCTCTCCTCTCTCTTCCTCCTCCCTCTTCTTTCTTTCTCACTCCTGTCCTCCCTTTCCCCTTCTCTCTCACTCCTCCCTATCCTCCCTGTCTCCTCTCTCCCTCCTTCCTCTCCATCTTCTCTCTCTCCTCTCCCTGACTTCTTCCTCTCTATTCTCCCTCTCTCCTCCCTCTTCTCTTGCTCTCCCCATGTCTTCCCTCTCTCCCTCCATCTCTTTCCCTCTCTCCTGCCTCTCCCTTACAACCTTTCTCTCTCCACCTTCCCATCTCTCTTCCCTCTTTCTCCTCATTCTCTCTCTCTCTCTCAGTTATCCAATCAGATGCCAGAGTCAGGCCAGCCTCAACGATTAACAAATTACTCCATAACACCCCAGAGCGAGTGCAGACAGTCTATCTGTGTATGACTGGACACACAGTGGGATAACATGACTATGATGGATGGTATTGAAATTCTCGGCTAAATCTTGGTTTTAAATTGCCTGGTGAGTCCAGACTGATCTCTCTCTGTATTTACACACTGATATAAGTCTGGTCCCTGTGCCCTCCGTCCCACCTTGAGCCACAACCAAACACTTGTTTCTTTTCAGTGACACATGTGAAACAAAGGAGCTCAAGATTTAAAGGGTCAGGAGACAATAACCTACAGATGAGTCACAACATGTATCTGTTTAGTGACAAAATAAACTAAAGTAAAAGTTTTCTCATTGTGGTTATATTTATTGCACTGAAAAGCATAAAAACATGTATCCTTACTGTGTGAGTCTAGCCAGGCTGGTGCCACCTAGTGCCTCCGCTCAATTTATTTTCTGTCCAGCGACTAGGTCAGGAATCAGAATACACTAGACGGTTTGCAAGAACTCTAGAAGTGCGAGTCAGAGCACCAGCCAATCAGCAAAAAGCCAGACATTCTGTTTTGGCAACGATTCCCGAGATCGAGGATTTAAAGCCGGAACAAAGAAAGTGTTGAATTGAATCAAGGGGAAAGACGTTATTGCCCTTCTTCCTACGGGATTTTGGAAAAGCTTAATATACCAGATAGTCCCGTTAGTGGCACATTACATACGTCATGTTCAAATAGCAGTGATTGGTTAAATAAAAAAGTACCTGTCTACCGTCGAGCAAAAAAATCCTAATGCTGCGAGGTCAGATGGTTTCTACGAAGTGAAACCATCTGATGAATAGGGCTAGTGTGAGTCTGTATCTCTACAAATCTGATTCTTATTTGGCCTGGAGGAAGGTCCACGCTAACTTCCTGTTAAAAGTGCAGTGTGTAACTTTCTGAAGGTCTCCTGCATGATTCCATGAAATTAGAAAGTGAAAACCAAACTTAGGAACATTCTTCATTCAATAGAGATTACTTTTATGCTATACTGTGTAAGATTATAGGCAACATGGAAACAAGCAGAAGGAGGCTCTAGTCCAATGAGGTTCATTTGGTCTTCCGATAATTTATGTTATTAGGTTATTTTTTCAGACCAAGAGTTTGTTTTTATACGTGACAGTTTGGACTGCTCTTCCTCAGAGTGGTCATGTGATGTTGCTGTCCTGTCAGATGATTTATACAGAAGAAAACAAACACCTTCTCTAGATTAAAGAGGCAATCAAAATACGGAAACATGCCCATGGGACTATAAACTCGGACAAGGGGGCTTTTTTACTTTCACACACCTGGGATACTGAAGAAGTCAAACTGCAGATGGCACTGTTGTCCTGCCTCCACCGGTAGGAAGACAGCGCAAAAACCTGTATAAATCAGCTGTCAGGTATGACTGAAAAAAACAACCTAATAACATAGTCATGTGTGTGGAGATGGAAGCCTTCTCACAGTAAGAAAAAACCGAAAGAAAAAAGTAAAAAAAATAAAATAATAAAGTTACCATAATGACAAAAACATGCTTTTATTTCATTTTTTGGCTAAATTGTTACAGTCTATGGCTTTTAAATGATCAATGTTGCAATTTAAAATGCCCAAATGATAAGATAATGATCAACATGTGTTATAAATGAAAAATATAGAGGATAAAAACATAAAAAATATGACACGTCTTCTTTAAAAGATAGAATTTTCCTCTGGGGCCTGACATGGTGGTTAGGGACACCTGTCATACTCAATACACACAATCCAATCCATTCTTTTTCAGTATTTGACCAGTGCATTCTACAATCTGAAAACAGCCTACATTTCTCTCAGAACTTTTTTACAGTGCGCTGGTTCAATCAATACACTTCAGTTGTCAGAGATTGCAGTGCTGGCAGAGTCTGGCTGCACACTGCCGGAGTGATGCTAACCAGCACGGATGGGCATCAGGTGTATTTTTCATGATCTGCTCCAGCTCCACTCTCACAGGAGCAGGAGGATATGGTGGGATTTCACAGAGCAACGTGCACCTGGATTAGGAACTGGTGCACTTCGGTGTTTAGAATTTGAAGTTAATTGTGAGGAAAATGGTGCGTGTGAGTGATGGTCAGAGGGACGGATGGCGCAGATTGGCAGCCGCACTTCTGTCAGTCTGCCTACAATAGTATCTTACCACCATTGTTGTGGTGTAAATGAATAATGCTCTGTAAAGCGTCTTTGTGAACTATGTGAAAAATGCTACATACATAAAAACTTACTTACTTAAAAGATATAAAATAAAAGTGAGGAAAATTGAATCATATCTGAAGGAGCAGTGCAAGAAACGCAAATGTTCAAAAAGTTTTTTCATTTGTAGACATACTTTTTTTTAATAACAATGTTTTTATTTAGTTTTGTACATTATAAAAGCACAACCACACAATCTATCTGCTAGTTGTGCACATGAAAACAAACAAAAAACAAAACAATTACAGATCAACCTAATAATTAGAAACTTTTTTTTTCCCCAACCCAAATATAAATATATATAAACATGTATATACATATATACACCTATATAAATATAAAATGTATACATACATACATTCAAAAATTATAATAAAAATAAATAAAAACAAAAGAAGAGTAATCTCAGTCATCTTCAGCACCATCTGTCAAATTAAGATTCCCTACAAAACTTTTAAGAGGACCCCACACCTCGTCAAACAGTTTCAACTTTCCTTTCCTAATGCATGTGATCTTTTCCAAGGGAAAACCTATGAGCATCTGTTTTACCCAATGCACCAACCTGGGCCTACAAGTTTGTTTTTTGTTCCCAAAATATTGTAATTGTTCTTTTTGCTTGTAAAAAGCACATATTAATCATAATTTGTTCACTTTGAGTAAACTTGTGCTTTTTGGGATATATACCTAAAATAAACATAACAGGATTTGTTGGAATATTCTTAGAAATAATCATCTCTACCGCTTCTCTAACCTCCTCCCAAAAGAGTCCTATTTCAGGGCATTGCCACATGCAGTGGAAAATAGTTACTTTGGCATCAGCACACTTGCTACAAATATCTGGTATGTTAGGGTTATAAAGGTTCAGTTTGGCTGGTGTTATATATTTTCTCATAAGCCACTTATATTGCAGAAGCCTAAATCGAGTATTAATTGTTTGTGAGCTTTGTTACCAATCATACTTACAGTGAGAAGAGTAACCAAAACTTTTACTCAAGAGTACTGTTACATAGTCAAATTAATTAATTAAAAGGAATATGGTGAAAACTTGTCAAAAAAGTACTTTATATATATATAATAATATATATATATATATATATATATATATAATATATATTATATATATATATATATATAAAAAAATACATACAATCACAATATATATTATATCATGAGTAATATTATATTCTGAATCCTAATTCAAAGCATATGCACCCTTTTTGCCAGCAGAGGGAGTAATGAGCTTCATTGCAAAATAAATGTAATTTAAAAACACAGATCTGACCTGTAACTTGGCTTGATGCTTTCACCGTCTCCATGGAGATACATTTAACACTATATTGTGGAACATTTCAAGCTAAGCAGAAGGATCTCCATGGAGACAAGCAGCAGACGCACCATCAGAAAGTTACACAGTGCACCTTTAACATTAAAAAAATAAATTAATCAAAAAGAAAGAAAGAAATAACTTTAGCCTATTGCAATGGCACCACAGAACGCACAATATCACGCTTGATTGCTTAGGAAGATTCGTTTGGGAATCTCTCCATGACTCTTGCCTTTAATTACAACTTTAATTACCATTCATAATAACGTTGGCCGTGCGCACTTGGTATTCACGCCTATTAAAAAAAAAGCAAACCCATCCTGTGTGCCAGTGTGGTGCCTTCTTTGAAAACACGATGTGATTTCCGATTGCGAAGAAGGTGGCGAAGGACGAGACCAGATAGATAGATAAAAGACAGAGAGAGGGAGTGAGAGAGACAGAGAGAGAGAGGAGAGGAGAGATAGCACGGCGGTGGGGCGAACTGGTAGTGAAGTAGAGAGAGAGAGAAAAAGAGAGAGAGAGAGAGTAATCGAGCCAGTGATAAGTCGGTACACTTATTTTTGGCACAAATGGAACCCCATACTCAGTACCTGTTTGAGCGCTCCACGTTCGGCTCATTGGATTAAGACGTCTCCCGTTAATCCCGTAAAGGAGGACCGGGAGGCGGGCGGTGGGTCGGTCTGTGGTTGGAGGAGCGTGCGTTCGTTTTTGGCGTCTAGCGTGCCGGCTTGGGAATCCCTCGCCCTCCTCATCTCCCCGCCGTTACGATGGATACCTGCGGGGTCCGAATCTGGCTCTTCCTGGCGCTCCTCTGGCACGACACATCCGACGCATCGCAATTCCCAACGCAGCTTATGTAAGTAGCCTGTGCACGTTGTTGGTAATCCGTTGTTTATTTGTATTCCGTGCGTAACTTGGGGTGGGTGTGTGGCGGCGGTGGTAGTGAGGTGCTTCGTTCATTCATGCACCGCTGGTCAGACCCGGGAGGGAGCGGAGGAGCGGGGGAGCGGAGGGTGATTAACGACAAGGGGTGGTCGGGTCGGGTGCCGTGGGGTGATTCCGTGTCGGGTTGTGTCATGAGCGGTGCGCGGAGGGTGAACACATGGCGCACCTTTTTTTTTTTTTTTTTTTTTTTTTTTACGGGGAGCAGCTGGATGGAGACAACAGATCACTGTGTTTAAATCCGTGCGTAAAAAACTTATGGTAACGTGACAGTCCGATGCGCGTCATGACGACTGGATTATTTTATTAATAATGACTGGTGTTTTAAAGACGTGTGGAATCCTCGTTTGAACCACACAAATTTAGCTTTGATTTTTACACCATTAAGGTTTTTGGAGAGCCGAAGAGCTGGGTGGATGCCAATTAGCCGAACTCATTCATAAACGTAGGCCTATTCAAAAAACGCCTTATTATCAGTATACAGTTAGATTACTCATATATTTTTACATTTTGCTATGATAAGATGTGTAAAAAAGTATATTGGTAAATTATTAAGACTCATTTTAATTCAATAAATCAATACAACTCAGTGATAAGAGAATTTTTATCATGTTTTATGGTTTTATCATATGGCATGGTTGGTAGTTTTTATACTCTGTCCTGAGTCTAACTGCATTTTATTCAAAGTTACACTAGTATTTCCTGATTTGTATAACTCTTAACCAGTGTTGGGGAGTAACAGATTACATGTACTGGAGTTACGTAATCAGAGTACAAATTATGAGTAACTGTAGTCGGTTACAGTTACTGTTTCAATGAGAGGTAATTGGATTACAGTTACTTGGTTGAAATAAATGGATTACACGGCGGTATTTTCCTGTTTTCACATTTCGGGGTATTCCCTTCTTTTTCTTTTTCTTTTTTTCAGGTAATTCCACTCATTGCCGACCACTAAACCAGGTCTAAATCAGGTCTAAACCAGGTCTAAAACCAGGTCTAAACCAGGTCTAAAACCAGGTCTAAACCAGGTCTAAACTAGGTCTAAACCAGGACTAAACCAAGAATAAACCAGGTCTAAAACAGGATTTAACAGGACTAAACCATGCTGTGCGGACCATGTCTCCTCCTCCTCTTCTATCAATAATATTTTTAATACGGTTAAATAAAGACTGGGCTTTTTTATTGTCTTTTAGCAGATTTATGTGAAGATATCTGAGTCTTTGCTACTCTACAGCAAAGCAAGTAATTCAAAGTATTCAGATTAAGTTACTCACTTTAAGTAATTTAATGGATTATGTTACAAACTACATTTTGGGGTATGTAATCTGTAATATGTAAGGGAATACATTTTTAAAGTTACCTTCCCAACACTGCTCTTAACACCGTTTATGTCTCTCTGTGTTGTAGGTTTGTCATAATTGTGTCAAAAATCAGATACTAATCAATGCTAAAACTAAAGTAGATACTCATTAAAACACGTATCAATTCTAAAAAAAAGTCACATTCACAGAACAGAAATGAGCCTTTCCTGAATGATCCTGAGCTGTACCAGAACAAGTACAAGTACCACATAGACTATTATACGCCCACGGGCCACTATGGAACCTACCTGGATGGAAGAGCTTTTTATTATCACCACAGTGTCAGAATCTATTGTGTAAAGAGTCTCTTCCTTCTTGAAATCGAGTTTGAAACTGACAAGCTGTACTGAAGCCACGGCTGCCCTGAGGTAGACCGACAAAAGCGAGGCTGCGCCATCGGCCCCTCTGGCTATCATGAATCACTCACGAACGCATCACATTTATACCGGGCGATAGTGTCTTGTTTTCTCGTGTAGGCTACTTGAGCAAAATACAGTATGTCTCTTCTCAGTACAGATACATTGTACAAGAAGCTCCTGAGGTCAAAACAAATCTGCTGCATCTAATTATAAAGTATTGTACTATCTGATTACCAGGAAGTGCAAGTTAGCATGTTGATTGTTTGTTAGTTAGTTAGTTATAACGGCAAGTCTTCGCACTGAGCGTTGTGAAAAGTGCTTATAAACTTATCACGGTGAATAGTTAGAATGCAGAAGGTAAGTCAGGAATAACTTTGAATTGTTTAAAATGAACTAGTTGTGTTTTTCAGACAGGTGCAGTGCCTTGAAATTGCTTTTTATTGACAGCAATCATGTCTTTGGGTTGAATAATGGCACCACTTCCTAAGATGTTGGCCAAAGGAAAAAAAAAAAAAAAAGAAGAAAATCTCAGTGTAAACAATAGGGTTGCTAGAATGTTGTGAAGTGAATGCTGGTGATTGGCGGAGATACTTTTTACTTTTACGTCACTACATTTGAGAGCAGGTATCTGTACTTTCTTCTCCACTACATTTTTGAACAGGATTGAAAAGTAAAAGTTTGTTTTTTATTATTATGTGAGACCTGCTGGTGGTCATAGTCTGACCAAGCAAAAAAAAATAATAATAATAAAAGAATAATCAATTGTTCCTATAGAAAATTCTGCACAAATCTTTATCAAAATCATTACATTTTAAGTTTCCGTAAATCTCAAAATCGGCATGAAACACTTTTAACTTAGATTTTTTCATGTGATACTTTTTATTTTTGCTCCGGTAGCTGTACTACTTCAGTAAAAATACTTCTTCCACCACTGACAATTAGTCAATATTGTAATTACTGTAATAAACCTGGCTGTATCTTCACCTGCTCTCAAAAATCCTGTTTTTCACTCCACAATAGAATGTTTTGATACTCGCTCCTCTCTCCTCAGCTGCCTTCTCTGTGTGGCGACGCACAATTAGCCCACGGAGTCTAACCCACACGCCCACCGAGCCACGCACTCACTCCGGGCCCCCTCATTAGCATGTTTTGTTCCGTGCTTCTCGCTGGCACATCTGTCTTTGGCTCTTCCTTTGCTCTATGCTCGCTGGCTTGCGGGTTCGATTGTGTTGTGGTGGTACTCTGCTCTCTCTGGAACAATGTAGGCCGCTGTCTGACCCAGTTGTGTGCGTGTGTTGATGTGTATGTGTCTCTGTATGTGTGTGTGCATGTGAAGTTTTAATTACCCGCGCTGTACCCGGGCTCACTAATAACACCGGGGGAAGGAACAGTCTTTGCTTCGTCAGCGCGACATTGGTTTAGGTAGAATTAATGGGGCACATTTAGACGATTATTTGGGGTTTTTAAACTAATGTTGATCTTTGCTTTTAACCTGTGCATTTACTGTTAAAAAAAAAAGAAAATATAATCTTAACTGGACCTGGGTTGGTTTGCCAGTGGCTAAACCTGCAGATAGAGAACACTTACAAGTTTGTCTCATTCTCAGTAAATGGATAGGCCATTAAGGACTGGCTGTAGGTGCTAGGAGGGTTCAGCTAGTGAGGACTCACATCAGAGAGAGTCCTTTTTAAGTTTAAACCAACTGGATTTCAGCAGTAAAACTGGCAGCCCAAATGAGAGTTCTACACTAGTGCCATTACCCTTTTTGGATAATTGTCTTGAGAACCAAAACACCAAGTTAGAATTTTTTCTTTTTTTAAATGATCATCATGTCAATACTTAAAGGGACAGTTCAGAATTTTGAACACAGGGCATTATTTCCTAGTGAGCCATAGTGTTGGAGATGTGTGGGGACACTTTTCTAAATATTCCCTCTAGTCCTTGTATTTGCAGAGGTCGCTGGTGCTAGACTAGTGCATGTCAATGGCCATAGTTAGCCTGCCACTAAAAACAGTCTTACCCACTCCACAAAACACCTAAGGCAAATCTGTTATTACGCCAGACTGTCAATCTAAATGTCTGTGTTGATAGAATAATGTTTGAAATAAAACTAACCTCACATCGCATGAATCGTCGCATGTTGAGGGACTATTTTCTCATATATCAGGAAGTACAACTCGCTGCTGCTGCTCAGACATAAATCCTTCAAATGCAAGGTTGGTTCTATTTCTAAAATTATTCTATCAACACAGACATTTACATCGACAGTCTGGTGTAACAGTAGATTTGCTTCGAGTGCTAGCCTAGCACCAGTGACCTCTGCAAATACAAGGACTGGATGGAATATTTAAAAAAGTGTCTCCACACGTCTCCAACACTCTGACTCACTAGGAAATGATGTCCAAAACTCTGAACTATCCCTTTAAGCTTTAAATCAGACCTGGGCCTTACAACCTGGGCTGGTACAACTCAGCCCTTTGGTTGACTCTGACCAACCTGTTTAAGCTCATTTGGAATTATAAAATAAATATATTTTATAATTTTACCCCATGTATGGACTAAGCTGCATTGCTTTTATTTTAGAGGTGTTGACGTTTTTTGTAAGACATCCTCACTTTTTAGGGATGGAATGTTATCCAAATCTCTTGATACGATATTTTCAAGATATGCATCTCACGGTACGATATTCATTATGACATTTTGTGGAAGTTTCTCTTATCATAATCCAGTCATAATCCAAATAATTAAGATTTAAAAGTGCTTAATAACAGTTGTTTTATCACGTAGATTGGACTGAAACAGTGCAAAGGATCATGGTCTTTGTAGTTCCTTCTGGTTTTTTAGCTGTCTGCACCATAACAATGATTTTAGGCAAAGAGACATGTATTTCGATGTATTGTGAAGGTCCATGATATTATTGTGAGACTTTTGAAGATACAATATCATGATATTTCGGTTATTGTTACATCCCTGTCACTTTTACATTGCGTAGTCATAACATATACTCTTAACAGTCTTACCAGCTTGTCTAAACAAGTCTAAACAATGCTATTTACTGCTTTTTATAAAGAAATACAATTAATGTTACACAGAATTGAGTTAAGCATTTTGTCCCGACGATATTTTCTGTGTCTAACGTGGCCCCGTGGGAAAAAATAACTTGCCCACCCCTGCTTTAAATCATGTTATAATGC